TCTATTCTATCTACTTGTTTTTCTTTGTGTGTGTGTATAATATATATATATATATATATATACACCTTGCTACGTGAACTGCGTTAGGCTAACCGAGACTTGTCATTTGCACTTAGATATTGTTGCTCTTTTGTTAGTTTTGACTGCTTTTATTGTCCTCATTTGTAAGTCGCTTTGGATAAAAGTGTCTGCTAAATGACTAAATGTAAATGATCTTAAAACTACCATAATGGCAATTTTAGAAAAATTTGGATTTGTGCTAATTTGTCTGGTTTTACTGCCTCTTGGTGAAAATAAGATCACTGACATAGTAGTCAGTATCAGTATAACCATAAACACAGGTATTTATAAAACCAAAATGCCATTACGCATTCATTTTACTGAATATTTCAATTTTAAAAGACATATTGTTATTAAAAATAACGAATTTTGCCTTTCCTATGTCACTCCAAGAATGGCCCGTTTAATCAACTTTGTGTCTCCAGGGCAATGTTCAATAGTTTTTTTGTAATCCTTTAAGATATGAAAACTTTTAAAGGGGTCATATGATGTTGCTAAAAAGAACATTATTTGGTGTATTTGGTGTAATGAAATGTGTTTATGCGGTTTAAAGTTCAAAAACCACATTATTTTCCACATACTGTACATTATTGTTTCTCCTCTATGCCCCGCCTTTCTGAAACGAAGCTCATCGGTCTGAAAAGCGAGGTGTGCTCTGATTGGTCAGCTAACCAGTGCATTGTGATTGGCCGAATACCTCAAGCGTGTGACGGAAATGTTACGCCCCTCACCATACTCTGATGCTGTGTCCTGCCGGAGCGACGAGACAAAAACATGAAAACCCATTACAAACGAGGCATTTGTTGCATCCAGTGGGGACATAATTACTGATTATAATGACTTATACTGTCTTTTTACGAGTTGCGTTACATTGCATTGCGCCGCGTAAACATAAAACTCTGTCTGCATTTGTGATCGGAGAAATGACAAACAACAAGTGCTACTCTACACTGCTCAAAACTCACGTTTGAATCATCAGTGGCAACGAAAAACACAGTGGCCTACCGTGAGGGGAAGCCCCGGCTTAGCGTGCACTGAGGCCGGGATAGAGTGAGCTGAGGCGGGCTGGACTCCGCTTCGTCCACAGTACTAAGTTGATGTATTACCTCAGCACCCAGCACGGATCAGCTCCAGGCATGACGAAGTGGATATCGTCCTCTTTTGGAAGACCAAACAAAGTAGTTTCACTTTCACAACGAAACACAGCGTCTTCACGACATGGCGGCGGCGGCAACAACAATACTACAGCGAGAATAAAAGTTACGCCTTCTTTCTTTGCGTGAACATTTGGGCGGTGTTATGCAAATCTTCCCACATAGTGATGTAGATATGTGGGGGCGTGTTAGAACGAGCCGTTTTAGGTAGGCGTGGCTGACTCTTAACTTTTATAAAGAATATCTCTTTGGATTTGAGACTTTAGACTTTGCAACTTTACAGATCTTCTTTATGCACCAAGAGCTTGTAACACTCCAAAGAGAAAGGAAAACTTGAAATCGCATCATATGACCCCTTTAAGATATGCCCTATACAGAACTTCCCAAAATAAACTCACTGCTAGGAAAAAGTGTGCTTACTAGAACAGGTTTCAAAACCGTGCATTCACAAAACCAAACATAGTGCGAATTATTTTTTAAATAGAATTAAAAATAAATAAATATAATTGTTAAAATCCATTTCAACACAAATTGCTCCGTCAAAACTGTCCCCACGTGACTCCTCCGTCTTGTGGGAGGAGTCACGCACTGGCTTCGACTCAAGATGGCAGCTGGAGCGGAGCACGGCTTGAAAAGAATAGTTTGGCAAAGTAAGTTCGTGGAGCATTCAGCTGATTTTCTGCACACTTCTTGCATGCACAGCCTCGCGCTTCGTCATTTATAAGAGTTCAACTCCGAGGAAGAGCTGTCAGAAGTGTAAAGAGATGAGTTTAGGCTGGGTTTGCACGGAGGAGTCACAGTCGTTTTTATGAAGTTGTTTGTTTTGGTGTTTAAAACGGAAACCATGTGGATTGTGTTCCGTATTTTGCGCCATGTTTGTCTCATTAAATGTCGTGCATATGCCACCGAGTCAGTGTTTCTGTTAGCCGCTCTGCTAATGTTAGCCAGTCCAGTGTCACTACTGAGGGCTCGCTTGTCAATTCCGCGCTGGCTGTTTCCGTTTGAAGAGTCGCGGGACGCGGAGTGTTTGAAGATGTCATGATGGAACTTCAGTTCTCCCGCGCGCGGCTGTTACATTCTGAAGTTCATCAATGACTTCCGGTCGGCTGTGCTGTGATGTTTTTATACAGTCCATGGTTGTGAACTGCGACTTGATGAAGACTAGCCATAACACACACAAAGTGATTTTGCAATGTTAAATATGTGGATTCGTAGGTAATTATGAGCTGATTATAATTGTGTATGTGTGTGTGTTTTCAAAGTGTTATAAATGGATGGGCTGCACTTTCACATATCTATATTGCAGGGGGGCCGCAGGCAGCAGATTTCCAAGGCTGTGAAATGGCTCAGATTATTTTAAATATATTATTTATTAAATAATATAACTTGATCAGAATATGAAAACATCCACATATCAAGATCTACATGGAAATGAACATTTATGAACTTTACCAATTAGTATTTTCCACACACACACACATACATATTCATTTATGATATTTATAAGGTGTTTTTTACATGTCTGTGCATTCTTCAAGCAGAACAAACTCAAAACAGGAAGTGAAGCTTCTTGGAAATTTTTCTTGATTTTCAGTTCCATGGCACTGCTATAACTAACAGATTCCTTTATGTGGCGTCACAGGAATCAAGGACACCCTCATTGCAGACTGCAGAAAGTCAGAAGTATGGAAGGTCAGTTTGAATGATTTCTTTCTTTCTTTCCCCCCTGAAGCTTTCCGTTTATATTTAGCGTATTTGTGGCCTTTAACGGTCTCCCACTGAGCAAATGAAATATTGGCTCCGGCTGTAATCCTCAGCTGTATACTAAACACAGAAGCTGGCTGACCTGACTGGTATCAGAGCAGGTCACCTACAGGACATTTTCCTTACTATATACTAAACAAAAACATACTATTTCTGGTAACCTCTTTCACCGCCAAAATCAGTATTGTATCTGGTCGGTATTGAAAAGTAAATTTAAAATTTTACGCAAAATGCGATATCCCTAGAGTTATTCTGTCATGTTTTCTCCCTTTCTTTCCAAGCTGCGACAAACGCCAGTCTCCCTTCTCTGCAGAATGCGATATATCCGCTCAACCAATCACAGCGCACCATTCCACGCACTCTAGACTAGAGGTCGACCGATAGTGAATTTTGCCGATACCGATAGCTAGGTTGGACCACACTGGCCGATACCGATTAATCAACCCATTGTTTTAAAATTGATACTGAACAAAAACTAAAATAGTGCTTTATTAACAAAAACAGTACTGAACCATACTACTAGTAGTAGTAGTAAAAAATAATAGTAATAGTAAATATTGAAATTAACACACTCTAACAAGGAACAATACTTACACAGCTTTCATTAATCTTAATGCTATAAATGGACTCTTATTTTAAAGTGTTACCATTTCATTTCAACTGTCATGCTTAAAGATGCACATCTTTAAATATATACACAAAGGCTATAGCAGTACAATTATATACATATAGATATTGTATGGATACTCTCAGACTTGAACTGCTTCTATTCTTGAACATTTGATGATTATCTAATCAAAATAAGAGCGCAGCGCTGAGTCTAGGAGAACTCACCGGTATCACACACACTCCGGACGCATCACGTGCAAACACTTCTTCACACAGGGCCATGTAGTTTTGGATTTTGTTTTCCCTTAATAAAAACCTTCATTTAATAACTGCATGTTGTGTTTACTTGTTATCTTTGACTAATATTTAAATTTGTTTGAAGATCTGAAACATTAAAGAGTGACAAACATGCAAAAAAATAAGAAATCAGGAAGGGGGCCAACACTTTTTCACACCACTGTGTATATATATATATATATATATATA